GACAACATACAAAAGACCAGTCACAATTCTTCAACGTGAATCTAAGTACGACATCACCGACAAGAACGGAACTAACGACAGCATCAGACGCTTTCATAAGTCTTGAATTTGAGTCTCCTAACTGATTTCTTGGCTCGCCGTTGGGTACGTCTTTATGCTTTTGGAGTGAGGGAGGAAATACCATACTTCTGTACTATAAATGGGGACGAATGAAACTGTTGAAGATTAGGTGGAAAGTTCTTCGGTCAAACTGACCAAAAATGCGCATGAACGTACCAGTGCAAGGTTTGTTCGAAAGGCATTTTTGTCACAGCTGGCGTAAAACTTTAAATCATAGGGTGTTGTTGAATGGGAAATCTGTTTTTAGGCATAAATCGATGAGTTCTAGTATACTTTGAATTTGAAGCTTTGTGTACTAAGTACACAAACGAAAGGGACACCAACGGGATTACCCGTATCAGGACTGGTCGCAGAAGCAGTGATGCAAAGACTAGAAGCCGCGATATTACCAGGGATCAGGCCTAAAATTTGGATTCGCTATGTCGACGACAAATTCGTCATCGTCAAAAAGAATGAACTGGAAAACACTTACAAGCTGATCAACAGCATTGACAGCACGAAAAAATGAAGAGAAATACCTGAAGAACATATTTCGAAAGAACGGCTACCCCATCAACTTCGTCAAAAAATACCAACCGCACGCAGCATGAGAACCTAAGTCAAGCACAGAAATCAACAAAAGGATAGTCCTATCATACATAAATGGTATATCACAAACCGCGACGAGATTGCTGAAAACCTTTGGGATAGGTGTGACACGCAAACCGACAAAATCACTACAACCAATCCTATGCAAACCAAAGGATGAAATAACAAAGGAAGACAAATAAAACATCATCTACAAAATAAATTGTGCCAGCTGCGAAAAACACTACATTGGACAAAGCGGATGCCTCCTCCACCTTCGCCTACATGAGCACCAATTAGCAGTCAAACGCCGTGATACTTCCTCACTTATGTCAATACACGTGGACAACTGCGGACACTCATTTGATTGGAAAAATGTGGAAATATTGGACAGACGAAATTCCAAAAACACCAGAGAATTTTTAGAAGCCTGGCACTCAGATCAATCAGCAATCAACAAACACATTGAGATCGATCCAATTTATCAACCAATCAGGAAAATTATGCACAAATAAGGGAACGAAAATCAAACCAATGGGAGACACAATCAAAACAAAGAAGTAAACAATGATAAATTTAAGGTGAATAAGAACTATCAACGTCAAGGTGCACAGAACAACGCATATGGAGAAATTCGAACACTTCACGTCTATCTGAAGTTCGTGCTGATGATATCGTTCAGAAGAACGATTAAAGCTCCACGACCAAACCATCCAGCCCAGAGAATAAAACTCCATCAGAATCACCCACCTAAGCTACAAATCTTCTCCACCATCGCGAAAAGTTATGTCAGACGATACCCGTTGTGGAAGATCGTTTATACATATCAATAAAGGAAGACTACCTGATACTGAACTCTGGGGGTCCAACTAAGACATGCCATAACCTATAAATAAGTGTATGTATGTGTGATGACTCTTCTGACATATGAATATGTATAATAGCGTATCCAACGGCGAGTCATGAATTCAGTTGTAGGACCCAAATTCACGCCTTATGTAGAGCGCCTATAAGCGCTAATTGTTTTAATCATTATGGCACAGACGTCTTAGATGTGACCGTCTAATGACTCACAGTAACCTTAACACTTCTAGAGACCGCCTTAAACACCTACTTGGTTTACTTCCAACACAAACCTAAGGGGTTGTAGTGGCATTGTGCCCAAACCACACAATCCTCAGAGCTGAACACGAGACACTTAGGTGAATACATTTCCAACATTTAGAGCGAAGAAACGAATGGAATGAGTTCGAATCCATCGGATGGCATGGCTCTGCCTTACAGGCGTGGTCATTATTGAGTGTTAACATATACCTTTTATTCATACTAAATATATTGTTCTATCTCTAGCCTAAATGTGTTCTTCATAATATATTGATGATTGTTACGACGCAATGAGTTGGTGTAGATAATAATGTTACTTTGTGGAGATGTGACTCACAAGCCTATTTTGTAAATAGTTTTTCGTATTATTTGTATTTATTTTGTCAATCTTTCACTGTATGTATATTTATCATTAAATGACTGTACCTGATGTTTTAGTGAATGACCTTGAATACACTTTCCGTTGTGTTACTGACATAGCGTGATATACTGCTGCTTGCTAACAAATACATTGCTGTACACACGTACCTTGTTCTACTTTCGCTTGTGATTGAGCTAACTGCATTCTAAATCAAGCATTATCTGGATTTATAGACTGTGAGTCGGAATATATCATACCTAACATTGGTTTACACTACTGGAGAGTCCAACAACCTGAGCGGAATTACAGAAAATTTATAATTGTGGATTTTCCGTACCAGACCAATTCGAACACGCATCAACTTGGTAAACGTAAGTAAAGTCCTAATTTTTCTGTTGTATTTGCAACTGTCAACATTATTATTTGCTCTTTATAACTTGGTTAACAGTTTTTCTCGTTCATATTTGTCTGGTCCACCACAACTTCGAAGTAAGGTCCTATAGATTAAGCAGTAACATCGTGACAAATCTACAATTTTACGTTTAGGCCTATTATTAGAGCAGTACTAATATCATAGTAGGCCATAATTATATAGGCTAACACCCAGAAACTGGAGACATTACACAGCAGAACGGACTGTAGACACACTTTCTACTTCTCAATAGTAGTCAAATCCTGGGATTTGCTGCCGACTGAGCTTGTCCAAGCGACTTCGCAGAAGTCCTTGAAGAGGCAACTTGACTTATTCTTAAGGATTGAGGATAATATTTTGATATGATTTTCCATTTTCTTCCTCTTTTATCGCTAATATACTTAGGTTCACGTCTGGAGGTATTGGTGATCCACTGCTAGTAGATACGGAAGTCCGTTCAGTGCATGCTTTTACTTTTCCGTCGACAACAACTTGAAGCACTAGAATGGCGCGATTTGTGGAGGATGCGTTGCGATGTGCAATGAATCCACTTAAGTTTGAGAGCTTTTATAAAACACAGCGTTATATCTCTCCGGAATACCTGAGGTGTTTTTGATAGGGCGGGTTGAAGTCACAGGGAAATTTCACATTCAGTTTCAAAAGCTTTCATACCGTTTCGGCCAATTAAATGGTTGGTTTTGAAAGGTAACAGTCGGTTATTTACTTCTTAAAATCGATACAAGAGGCAAATACTTTTCGACTAATCAACTTTTTTCTCCTAATTGTGAACGTAAATAACGTACAAAGCGCAAGCTCTATCATTTCGAACGTTGTCACTGACATGGGTAACGTGTTCTTGAGCACGTTGTATTTGGTAGCCTTCCAATCGCTTGGAGCGCTAAAGAGCGCCATCAGAAATTACGAATGGGAGCGATGTACTGTTTTTATACTGTTCGCAACTCTCGTTTCCACAAGAGTCAGAAGCCGTCTATTCTATTTATATGTTGGAGAAATGGTCGTAGAACACCTAATTGGTCTCCACAGCCTATATAGACGAAGGAGGTTAGTTGATTAATGTTATTACACTGTTCATGAAGGGCTGTAATGAGCACTCAATGCCCGACATTCATCTATTGTAAATTTACTGAGGATTATTGGGTTGTTCGTTGTAATGCGCATCACAATCATGAGTGCGACTTCATCAGATACGACAACAGTTCTTGGATGTGCAGGTTAACTGACAGTGATACCTCTGCTGATTTCGGGGACTACAGCATTCACTATTGTCCACTTCGTCTGCCGATCTTCTTGGAAAGGCCTGAATACGCAAGATCAAATCAATAAAACTGAATTTGCTGGTAGCTGACATGTTTTAGTTCATTACCGACTATATTTGTTTAATTTACAAACTCCATGGTTTCCCAGCTTGAACTGGCAATTATATATTTGAACCAGTGTCCTATTTGGTGAAAGGCGAACTAATGAACCGCAGCTCTTTAAGTTCAAACCAGTTGTTTGAAGTAATCGAATTTGTGTGGATTGTCGAGTACTCTAATTAGATGAAGCGCCCATTAAATAGTTTCTTCTTAGATTGCGTCGACTAATTCCTGACGACCACCCTCTGACTCCAGTTTGGTCTCATGACCGCATAAGAAATTTTTTAAAAAGTTCATAGAAACTGAAGTGACAGAAACAGAAAACTGAGTTTAATTGAAACGCTGTCCAACTTTTATATTCGTGAGAGTAATGCACAATCGTGCTAGCATACACGCATGCACGAAACATCCTAAAGGTTACTTACTGCTGAGTAACTGGCGAGGAAAATTGTTAGGGTGGTAGGGTAACTATAAGTGCTAGAATAATTGATGTTCACAAACGTCATGATTTTTCATACAGGTTCGTGATGACATCCACTGCTTTAAATTAAATTTGATGATTGTTTTCCATATTTGCTTGAACATATGAGAAGCTTACCTGGAAACCAATCTGTTCACAATTTAAGGCCTGATAGATCAAAAGTAACATACATTATCTTCAGACAATTGCAGCATAACATGGTTGTGAAAGTCAGATTACCAATATGAATACTATGAAGTTTTGGGCGTGAACTCACAACCTCATTTACAATGATTTTTTAGAATAATTATTCTATGCAACAAAAGAACGAAATCCTCCTTATGATATGAAAATATCCAGCAAGAGTTAGTGTACACAGATGTTGCTATGTCACTGCATTGTACCACTGAGAATGAGTTGAATTTGGATACATGAACCGCCGAATTCATATTCAGTATTCGAATGCTGGTGTAGTGTTTGAATCTCCAGATTTGCGAAATTGGTTAATGTTGACTACGTTTGTAAATGATTTCAGTTATTCTTCACGCTGTTCTCGAGTTCTATTTACCTATAACCATCGTTATCTAGATACTGTTGCTTATGTTAACCCCTCATTTCCTTGGATACTTCGTACTGTACACTAGAGACCGCTCGTCGGACATGTTGCGATTTGCTGCCACATCAGTGTGTCTCCAAAATGTTTGCTTCATGAATTTACAAATTATACTTTTCAACGCTACCTGGTTATTTGTACATCATCAGGCTGAAAAGTATCCACATATTTTGGAGTCATCTATGCCATGTACTGATTTTGGACTTATCACTTACCTCCCAAGTGCGCAGTCACCAATAACTTGTAAGTAATACATAGATAATAATATTGGCACTGTTTTTGTCTAATTTTTCGTATGTTTCTATGCGATAAGACTGCTATAGTCTGAATATTTGTGTTTTGTATGCCCCATATCTTTTTGCACACGCTCTAGGTATTTGGTTATAAATCACACCGTAATTATGAAGGTTAATGATACTATCCAGTTGACCATACCGAAGTGGGTGGAGCGAGATTCAAACCTGGGCCGGAATTTGAACGCCTTAACTACTGTGCCACTCCGACTAGAGTGCAGGCACCCAACTAATATCTTGTGGGAACTTTTGTTAGGTACTTTCTGACTGTGGGAGTTCTTGAGTCGTTGATCTGTATTAATTTCCAACCTTGAGTAGAATTATTCTTTCTACCAAACCAAATCTATATGTATGATGTATTTATTCTCAATTTCGATCCCAAGTGCAATTTTTAGTGTTATTATTCATATGATTTCTCGTATTGTTTCATGTTCATGGATTCAGCGAATCGTACATGAATGGGTAACTTTTCGTGTGTTTAGGTATTACTGGTTAAACAAAACCAGAAGTTACTTGTCGGCATTGTTGTATCTAAATTTATAACAACGTAAATGTATTTGAACAGGCTTAATGGTGACTAAATCATTCGTTAGCGACTTAGGAGTGTAGGCTTTGTACAAAAACGTCTTATTAATTGACTTGACTCATTATTTTGTGTACGATAATTAGACATGATAACTTAGCTCGTTGAGTAAAGTAAGACATTACGCAGGTAATGGATATTAACCTGTTCGTAGATTTCAAGCCATAAGGATAATGCTGTTGTATTACAGCCTACCTGCTTGAGGTCCTTACGATGATCGTACACTCAGTGTTATCCTACATAGGTGATATAAAAATTTGAAACATCTCGTCAAAGCATTTGCATACTCAGTGAAGTGACCATATCGCATGAAAACCTTTGGCAGCTGCGACTGAAGAAATATTGGTATTTCATTGACGTAGAAAAGAAAAAATAGTTGACCGAATATAATGTCTTGGGATACCTCAAATTTTACTCGCTTCCATTCAAACAGTGTTGTAAGTTAGTAGTTAGAGTAGGATTTTTGTAATTAGTTTTGTTACTAGTTGCATTTCTCATCAATTCTTACAATTTGTACCATTACCATTACTACCTGTAAAACTGTCTTTCAAAAAACACAACCTTTGACCTTCCATTCCAATTTGTGAACACACATAACATGACCCACCGATTGTCGTTCACAAAATACTCTGCTGCACACATTGGTTGTTCTGGTTTCTGGACATACCAGTCTGTTCCTTCTTAAACCACATTTTGGACTTGTCACTTATTGGCTGATTTATTATGACTTGATGTGATCGCATATGTGTTGATTGCTTATCCCATTCATCATATGTCTGTAACTTGTTTTTTGTTTGACTATAGATATTGAGTAACGCTTGATTAAATTGAGTTGGCTCACTTATCTTCTCCAATTCGTTTGGCTTCGCTCTCTCTTCTTCGCTTCCTTCGCTGAGTTCCTCTGATTGTCTGTTCCGATCGACGATTGTGTGAAATATATGTATTCAAACTCCATTCTCGTATTTAACTTATTTAATTCCGTTACTCGCTAACGCGTTTCAAGTCAATGAAATATACAAAGATAGCCGACATTTTTATTAATATCACATTTATAAATGTTCTGCTACCTAGGGTTGCTATCTAATCCTTTCTTATAATAATAAATTTCCAGAAGGGGTTTGTGGAGATTTTTAGAAATTTTCACAGATTGAAATCGTGAGTCAGTTGAAGCTAGACCACCATTGAAAACCTGGAAGCACTGGACGGCCGTTTCGTCCTAGTATGGGACTCCTCGTGGATGAGTTGAAGTTAAACATTAACACCGTTGCATGCCAGCTCAGTGGTCTAATGGTTAAGTGCTCGCGCGCGAAGCCAGTAGGTCCTGGGTTCGAACCCCGCGTGGTGCGGGATCGTGGATGCGCACTGCTGAGGAGTCCCATACTAGGACGAAACGGCCGTCCAGTGCTTCCAGGTTTTCAATAGTGGTCTAGCTTCAACTGACTCATGATTTCAATCTGTGAAAATAATAAATTTCGTCAGACATAAATGGATTTTCCGAAATCCGTGTTGCTCAGGAGTTATCAGATTGTGTGGTTCTATGTGACATAACACAAATAATCTTTTCAAGTGACTTAACTTTTGTTCGGGTGAAACTGAGAGGTCTGTAGATAAACGCGACCTGTCTCTGAACTCGATCGGTCATTGAAATAATTATGCCGTCTTTTCAGTACCTAGGGATTTGAGACTGAGAAACGACCATTTAGAAGAGCGTATTCAGTGGCGTTCAAATAACGATACGACCGACCATTCCGGAGATCACCACCCAGTGATCGATCAATTGTGATTCCATCTCAGTCCTACAGGAGGTTAGTCACGGCTCGGATAGCTCAGTGGTAACGTCTCTGAATGTGAAGCTGGGTGACACGAGATCGAATCCGCCAGGGAGCATCAGTTCCCTCAAGATGACAGGTACACCTTGCTGACGAGTGCCAAGTAGCACGAATCCTGTGTGCAGAGTTTCCTGTTGACTACCTCCAACCACCATCTGAATCTCAATACATAGTGCCCGCAGTGTCGAGTCACCTAGACTGTTGGCCACATTGCAACATGACCGATAGCATTCGATCTGCACTAATAAGGACTAGACAAGCATGACATTGATGACCACCCAGTGATCGATCAATTGTGATTCCATCTCAGTCCTACAGGAGGTTAGTCACGGCTCGGATAGCTCAGTGGTAACGTCTCTGAATGTGAAGCTGGGTGACACGAGATCGAATCCGCCAGAGAGCATCAGTTCCCTCAAGATGACAGGTACACCTTGCTGACGAGTGCCAAGTAGCACGAATCCCGTGTCCAGAGTTTCCTGTTGACTACCTCCAACCACCATCTAAATCTCAATACATAGTGCCCGCAGTGTCGAGTCACCTGGACTGTTGGCCACATTGCAACATGATCGATAGCATTCGACCTGCACTAATAAGGACTAGACAAGCATGACATTGATGACCACCCAGTGATCGATCAATTGTGATTCCATCTCAGTCCTACAGGAGGTTAGTCACGGCTCGGATAGCTCAGTGGTAACGTCTCTGAATGTGAAGCTGGGTGACACGAGATCGAATCCGCCAGAGAGCATCAGTTCCCTCAAGATGACAGGTACACCTTGCTGACGAGTGCCAAGTAGCACGAATCCCGTGTCCAGAGTTTCCTGTTGACTACCTCCAACCACCATCTAAATCTCAATACATAGTGCCCGCAGTGTCGAGTCACCTAGACTGTTGGCCACATTGCAACATAATCGATAGCATTCGATCTGCACTAATAAGGACTAGACAAGCATGACATTGATCACCACCCAGTGATCGATCAATTGTGATTCCATCTCAGTCCTACAGGAGGTTAGTCACGGCTCGGATAGCTCAGTGGTAACGTCTCTGAATGTGAAGCTGGGTGACACGAGATCGAATCCGCCAGAGAGCATCAGTTCCCTCAAGATGACAGGTACACCTTGCTGACGAGTGCCAAGTAGCACGAATCCCGTGTGCAGAGTTTCCTGTTGACTACCTCCAACCACCATCTAAATCTCAATACATAGTGCCCGCAGTGTCGAGTCACCTGGACTGTTGGCCACATTGCAACATGATCGATAGCATTCGACCTGCACTAATAAGGACTAGACAAGCATGACATTGATCACCACCCAGTGATCGATCAATTGTGATTCCATCTCAGTCCTACAGTAGGTTAGTCACGGCTCGGATAGCTCAGTGGTAACGTCTCTGAATGTGAAGCTGGGTGACACGAGATCGAATCCGCCAGGGAGCATCAGTTCCCTCAAGATGACAGGTACACCTTGCTGACGAGTGCCAAGTAGCACGAATCCTGTGTCCAGAGTTTCCTGTTGACTACCTCCAACCACCATCTGAATCTCAATACATAGTGCCCGCAGTGTCGAGTCACCTAGACTGTTGGCCACATTGCAACATGATCGATAGCATTCGATCTGCACTAATAAGGACTAGACAAGCATGACATTGATCACCACCCAGTGATCGATCAATTGTGATTCCATCTCAGTCCTACAGGAGGTTAGTCACGGCTCGGATAGCTCAGTGGTAACGTCTCTGAATGTGAAGCTGGGTGACACGAGATCGAATCCGCCAGAGAGCATCAGTTCCCTCAAGATGACAGGTACACCTTGCTGACGAGTGCCAAGTAGCACGAATCCCGTGTCCAGAGTTTCCTGTTGACTACCTCCAACCACCATCTAAATCTCAATACATAGTGCCCGCAGTGTCGAGTCACCTAGACTGTTGGCCACATTGCAACATGATCGATAGCATTCGATCTGCACTAATAAGGACTAGACAAGCATGACATTGATGACCACCCAGTGATCGATCAATTGTGATTCCATCTCAGTCCTACAGGAGGTTAGTCACGGCTCGGATAGCTCAGTGGTAACGTCTCTGAATGTGAAGCTGGGTGACACGAGATCGAATCCGCCAGGGAGCATCAGTTCCCTCAAGATGACAGGTACACCTTGCTGACGAGTGCCAAGTAGCACGAATCCCGTGTGCAGAGTTTCCTGTTGACTACCTCCAACCACCATCTAAATCTCAATACATAGTGCCCGCAGTGTCGAGTCACCTGGACTGTTGGCCACATTGCAACATGATCGATAGCATTCGACCTGCACTAATAAGGACTAGACAAGCATGACATTGATCACCACCCAGTGATCGATCAATTGTGATTCCATCTCAGTCCTACAGGAGGTTAGTCACGGCTCGGATAGCTCAGTGGTAACGTCTCTGAATGTGAAGCTGGGTGACACGAGATCGAATCCGCCAGGGAGCATCAGTTCCCTCAAGATGACAGGTACATCTTGCTGACGAGTGCCAAGTAGCACGATTCCCGTGTCCAGAGTTTCCTGTTGACTACCTCCAACCACCATCTGAATCTCAATACATAGTGCCCGCAGTGTCGAGTCACCTAGACTGTTGGCCACATTGCAACATAATCGATAGCATTCGATCTGCACTAATAAGGACTAGACAAGCATGACATTGATGACCACCCAGTGATCGATCAATTGTGATTCCATCTCAGTCCTACAGGAGGTTAGTCACGGCTCGGATAGCTCAGTGGTAACGTCTCTGAATGTGAAGCTGGGTGACACGAGATCGAATCCGCCAGAGAGCATCAGTTCCCTCAAGATGACAGGTACACCTTGCTGACGAGTGCCAAGTAGCACGAATCCTGTGTCCAGAGTTTCCTGTTGACTACCTCCAACCACCATCTGAATCTCAATACATAGTGCCCGCAGTGTCGAGTCACCTAGACTGTTGGCCACATTGCAACATGATCGATAGCATTCGATCTGCACTAATAAGGACTAGACAAGCATGACATTGATCACCACCCAGTGATCGATCAATTGTGATTCCATCTCAGTCCTACAGGAGGTTAGTCACGGCTCGGATAGCTCAGTGGTAACGTCTCTGAATGTGAAGCTGGGTGACACGAGATCGAATCCGCCAGAGAGCATCAGTTCCCTCAAGATGACAGGTACACCTTGCTGACGAGTGCCAAGTAGCACGAATCCCGTGTCCAGAGTTTCCTGTTGACTACCTCCAACCACCATCTGAATCTCAATACATAGTGCCCGCAGTGTCGAGTCACCTGGACTGTTGGCCACATTGCAACATGATCGATAGCATTCGACCTGCACTAATAAGGACTAGACAAGCATGACATTGATCACCACCCAGTGATCGATCAATTGTGATTCCATCTCAGTCCTACAGGAGGTTAGTCACGGCTCGGATAGCTCAGTGGTAACGTCTCTGAATGTGAAGCTGGGTGACACGAGATCGAATCCGCCAGGGAGCATCAGTTCCCTCAAGATGACAGGTACATCTTGCTGACGAGTGCCAAGTAGCACGAATCCCGTGTCCAGAGTTTCCTGTTGACTACCTCCAACCACCATCTGAATCTCAATACATAGTGCCCGCAGTGTCGAGTCACCTAGACTGTTGGCCACATTGCAACATAATCGATAGCATTCGATCTGCACTAATAAGGACTAGACAAGCATGACATTGATGACCACCCAGTGATCGATCAATTGTGATTCCATCTCAGTCCTACAGGAGGTTAGTCACGGCTCGGATAGCTCAGTGGTAACGTCTCTGAATGTGAAGCTGGGTGACACGAGATCGAATCCGCCAGAGAGCATCAGTTCCCTCAAGATGACAGGTACACCTTGCTGACGAGTGCCAAGTAGCACGAATCCTGTGTCCAGAGTTTCCTGTTGACTACCTCCAACCACCATCTGAATCTCAATACATAGTGCCCGCAGTGTCGAGTC